CCTGCTTTAGATTCTGTGTCTCCTTCTTTCTCTGCCCCTTCCCGGCTCATACTCTGTCTCTGTCTCTCTCTCTGATAAATAAACATTAAAACAATTATGAAGTGGGAATACATAAAAGTTGCATCTTATACAAAGTCAACTATATGTACTTGGCAAAAAGTTTAAAAGAAAAATATAAATTTAAATAATACTCAGTATATGCCTACAGGTAAGCATGAGCTTAGATATGGAAAGCCTAGTTATGTTGTTCCATCAATTAGTCTCAGTTAAGTGCCTTTCCCTGAAAATCTTGCTGTGCTGTAATGGTCTTAGTGTTTAAAGATTCATATACTTATTTACATATAGATACATACATACATGTGTATATACATGTATGTACACACATGTGTATACACACATACATACTTACATATTTATTTGCTTAAAACAAGGTCCCTACATAGAATCCTATAATCCACTTGCTTCATCTATGGCTCAAAAATAAATAAAAATAAAAATGAACGGCCATTCAGGTGGTGTGATTTAGTTCATATGTGTACTTTAGAACCAAACAGGGTACAGACTCCACTACACAACTATAGTATACTGCTCTAGACAGCACATAAGTCAAAGTCGATGGAATCCCGGAATATACTGTTGAGGCCCTAATCCATCAATTTGTTTGTTACTGGTCACTAAATAACATTTTATCAACTATGTCACTATCCCAATAGCACTGTGCCACTGTTTAGGGAAAAGATATATTCACACCTATGGAAAATGATGAATGTATGAAGTTATTCAATACACAATGCTTTTACTAAAGACCAGGAAAAAAACCTAAAATATCCAAAAGGAGAGGACTGATTAAACAATACATCATACAATGGAATATTATGCTGCCATAAAAAATGAATAAGGAACCACTTTATATAATGACATGGAACAACTTCTAAGCTAAATGAAAAAATAGGGTACATAAACTGTGCATAGTACCATTTACATTAAACTGTGCACAGTACCATTTACATTAAAAGGGGGAGAGGCACCCCCTGGGTGGCTCAGTCGGTTGAGCGTCCAACTTCAGCTCAGGTCATGATCTCACGGATCGTGGGTTCGAGCCCTGCAGCAGGCTCTGTGCTGAATGCTTGCTTAGAGCCTAGAGCCTGTTTCGGATTCTGTCTCCTTCTCTCTCTGCCCCTCCCCCACTCATGCTCTGTCTTTCAAAAATAAATAAATGTAAAAGAAAAAAAGAAGAGGAGAAATATATGTAATATTTGTTTATATACATGTAACAGTTTTTTGGAAAAATATACAAGAAACTGCTAGCATTGGTTGCATCCTAGGCAAGAAACTGGGACAGGAGTAGAAGGAAGACTTTTCACTGCACATTCTTTTTTACCTTTTCAAAATGTGAATCATGTGACTGTATTACCTAATCCAAAAGAAAATACAAAATTTAGATCAGCAATAAAGTAGTTTGAGGTGAAAAAGGATCATGTTCTTAACATTAAACATTTACAAAAAGTAGGCATAGTAGGTAGAATATCAGAACTGTGACCATCTATTCTAAATTTCTCACTTTATACATGTGGAAACCAAGGCCTTGAGAATTATGTGACTTATGTACGTACAGTCACACAGCAAAAGAGCAAGGGTTAAATCAGATTTCTAGGGGTACCTGGGTGGCTCAGTCGGTTAAGCATCCGGCTTCAGCTCAGGTCATGATCTCATGGTTCGTGGCTTTGAGCCCTGTGTTGGGCTCTGTGCTGACAGCTAGCTCAGAGCCTGGAGCCTGTTTCCGGTTCTGTATCTCCCTCTCTCTCTGACCCTCCCCTGCTGACGCTGTCTCTCTCTCTCTCTCTCAGAAATAAATAAAAAGCATTTTTTAAAAAGTCAGATATTCTAAGATCTACTCTGTAATTCTTCCCTATCATACTGTCTTCTCATTTTGTGCGGGCAAAACAGAAACAAATTTAGAATACATAATGGGTTGTCACGTTCTGTCTAAAGTTTAGAGTCAAAATATAAAATAACCTCAACTCCTCAGAGTACTAATTTTTAGTGTGGACTTGATGTGGCAACACTTACAAATAGGACTTGTGTATCTTCATCATTGCATATATTCCAGTATGAGAAATGTACTGTTTTTATCCTATCTCAATCGAATTCACTGAGGGCAAGAACTAGAGTGTCTTCTTTTAATTTTTTTTTTAAAATGTTTTATTTATTTCTAGGAGAGAGACAGCATGAGTAGGGGAGGGTCAGAGAGAGAGGGAGTCACAGACTCCGAAACAAGCTCCAGGCTCCGAGCCGGCAGCCAGCACAGAGCCCGACGCGGGGCCCGAACCCACGAACCGCGAGATCACGACCCAAGCGAAAGTCGGAAGCCCAACCAACCAAGCCACCCAGGCGCCCCTTCTTTTAATTTTCTAAATATGCAAACGCCTAGCACAAGTGTAACTGCCAAAAATATTAATATAGGTTCACATTCCCTATCCAAAACCCAGGGGCTGGATGTATTTTAGAAATAACAATTTCTTGAAATTTAAAAATGTTCCAAGATACACATACCATTGTGTAACAACTCCCACACCAGTGGCCAAGGGGAGCACCCCACAACCAAACATACAATTTACTTCCTCAGCAAAACACACAGGGTAAAAACTATATATCATTTCTCATTAGTTTGGGTTATATTTTGTTACCAAATTAATTTTGTCTCCAAGTTCAAAAAGGTTTTGGTTCGTGTAGTCTCCTGAATGTAGGAATTAAATAGATTACAGACTGTACTCACAAAGGTTCTATTAAAAAAATATGATTAGTTACTTTAACTCTCGTCTTTTTTTATGAGATCAGAACAACTAATCACAGCAGGAAGTTTTCACATCCCAGGTCTAGGCTAAAGACTTGGCGTGTGATTAAGGAATCCAACCTAGCAGAGGGGACTAAATCTGACGCTATGAAAAGAAAAAATTTAAAAGAGAAGAAAGAAAATCCTAATTGTACATTATATTCCTATTTTGGCTGTTCACTAATAAAAGTTTCCTTTAATCAGACTGTTCGTTTTTAAATGGAAACAGGCAAGTAAAACTCAGTCTCACGTTGCTGACAAAGGAGATTGCTTTAATTCTACTAGAAGGTAACTGTACTCTTTCTGGGACCAGTGTACATAGAAAGAGGCATTCCAAATACATTAGTAAAGAAAACGCATAAACGTATTCGATTTTTTCAACGTGGGACCACTACTTTAACATAAATGAGAGTTTCTTCTAGTCAACCTCTCCTAACTGTCCTTATTAGCATAATTCCTTTTTGAAAGTCTTGTAGAACTTCTTCTACCTTTTACAAGGCGGAAAAACTCTGGAGTAAAACTGTTTACACTGAAATCCTCTTTTCTTTCCACAACCCAAGCCCCACATCCATTATGTTCCTGTTACTATTACATATTTTTTCCTGGCAAAAAATCAAATTTGCACTGCAAGACTATAAATCAACTTTACAAACAACGGTCTCTTGATATAATTCAGTTTGGCAATGTTGATGTTTCCATCTTAAAACTGTAGCAACAATTTGAACTGAATCAATTATTTTGTTCAACTTATGAAGGTAACAATTTGGCAAGCATTATTTACAAAAAAAATCGTGTGTTCCATCCTGAAATTGGAGATAGCGATGGTGAACAAGAAAAACCCTCCGAGTTTGTCTATTATTTCAAGAAGGAAATACTATGTTCTCATATTTTCAGAATTCATTTAAAAAAGAGAAAACTAGTTATACCTTACCACAAATATACCAGTGTATTAAGAATCAGGTAAGCAAAAACTAACAAGCCTAGTTTTCAGTCTGGAGAAAAAACAAACTCCCTGCTGGATTTCTTGGCCATATGCATTCATAAGTACGGAAAACTAAAATCCTTTTTACTGAAGAATTTCTTGGTATAAGGGACCTGTTCCTCTATACAGCCCTATCAAAATTACCAGCATTATTCTAGAATATAGTTATTTAGTTTGAGACCACTAAAAACACCCCACAGTCCAAAATGCTAATGGTGGTTACTCTGTAAATAAAGGGTCAGAAAATACAAATTGTTACTCTAGGACATAGAAACCAACCGACCAAAAGGACTTCTAGAATATGCTGCCCCAAGATTCAGAATTCAACTCCGAAATAGCACACGCGGTCACGATGTCCCTTAAACCACATGACCTTCCTACGAAAGCAGAGTCTTAAACTTATCAACTCCAGGAGAACTATCCTTTTAAGTTAAAGCAAGGCAGGGCGGCTAAAATGAACGCAGCGGTGACAGATCAGCTGCTAACTAGCAAAAACGGATGGTGGACAGCAAAGTCCCTGTGCTTTGGCTACTTCCCTTACCGTTAGAAGATCTGGGAGGGAGGGAAGGAGAAACACCCCAGAATCCTGGCAGAAAAGCCCCTGGGTTCGAAGATGGGGTTTAGGGAAACAGGAAGGGGCAGCTCCGTGTGTGGTGACCCTTTGTGAACACACACTCTGTGGCTGCTCGGCTCTCATCGAGGCTTTAGGAGAGCGGACTACGGGAGCCTTGCGTGGCCCACAGTCGTCGTGGAGACCGCAGCGCTGCAGGGACGCGTCGGCCGACAGGCTCCATTGCACACTCTGCCTCTGCAGGCTGGGGAGCCCTTCCCTTGCGCCACCACCCACCCACCCTCCCAGGTCACTCTCCGTCGCGCCGACTTCCGACCCGGGCTAGCTTCAGCCGGGGGGCAACGAGGTGCGCGCTACTCTCTTTCCTCAGCGTAATCCCTCCGCTGCCGAGCGCGCACTAGTTTTAATCACGCCCCACCCCCTGGTCTCCGGCGTCACCTCCGCCACTCGAGCGCTTTCCAGCAGCTTCCAGAAACGTCGCCACTCCAAACCCAGCCACTCACAGATGCCAGGCTCAGCAGCTATCGGCCCCGCCCCTAGTCGTCGCCGCAGTAGAAACTGCGGCTGCGACAGCGCGGCGAGTAGCCACGCCTCTGCAGAGGCCGTCCGGAAGTGCTCCGGTTCTCACCTTCCCCGCCACGCTGACGTCCTCTCAAGCCCCGCGCCGAGCAGGAAGGGGAACTCTTTTGCCGCGGACTCAAGCCGGAAGCTGCTATTCTAGCGGAGAGGCCGGTGGGGGAGGAGTGGGCGGAGAGGAACGTGGGTTGAACGTTACAAGGGGTGGTGTGGACCCAACCTGGAACAGGAGCCCGGACCGACCCGGTGTGCAGAAGGAGAGTGTACGCGGCAGGAAAGAGAGGCGAGGAAGTGATTTCGTTCAGCTCCCGAAGTAGGGAAGAGGGATCGCCGCTTGGGTGGTCTGCGCGCTGAAGGGTGGGCTAGTCTGGGAGGGAAAAGGGGCTGGGACTGGGCTCAGGTGGGAAGGGTTGGCGATTAAGGTCTGGAGTTACTGATTCGTTTTGGCTCAGAGAGGTAAATGCCGAAGAGAAACCAGAGTTGTTTTGTGTTTCGTTCTTCCAAAGAGCGTGGAGGTGGGGAGGGTTAAACGGAACTCTGCACCTCGGGTTTCCAAGGTTTGGTTTTGAAACTGACAAGTCTTGGTTCTATGCGTCTGTGTTACTGGAGGGCCGGGCGCACAACGCCGACCCCATTCCTCGGCTTTAAGTGTACTGTGGGCTTACCTTTGACAATTCATGTGCTGAGCTCGCTTGATCTTGGAAAGCAAGCTCAAATGTTGAAGTTTGAGGCTCTTTATTTGAGCAGCTGGTTCTCTGGGTTTCCCCACTGCGCACACGGGACTGTGAAACCCGCTTAATTGCCTATCTTTCATCATTCCCATAGCCAACTTTCCATATTCTTTGTGCTGTAACTAGGCTCATAGTGGGCTAGGAATTCACATTGTGGCTCCTGGAGTTTCAGTGGCTCACAGAAGTAATGAAAAGGAGTCAGAAGAAACGTGCTGAGGTTGAAGTGGAGAGAAGGGTAAGACTGGAAAGACAGATTGGTCGGTCTCAAGTGCAGCGGGTTTTATGGTCATAGTACTTACCTTTAGGTCCATACTGAGCTGTTTGGACTCTCCTATAATCAGGTTGGAGTAAATATAAATGATTTTAAGCTGAGCCGTGACAGACTCAGACTTGTTTTATACTAGCGTTGCTTTGGCTGCAATACCGTGTGGGGATGGGATGGAAAGAGGTGAGATTTGAGACACTTCCAAAGAATTGGCCACTGAATTTGGGGAGCTTTACTGCATGAAGAAGTGGAAAATGAAAGTTTAGAGAACCACTCAGATTTCCTAGTATGTGTATTCGGAGGGATGAAGATGCCAAAATCTAGATGAGATACAAGAAAGAGGAGCAGGCTATATTTGTAGCGAGAACAATGAAGACTATCATTGAGGTCAAATTAACTTGTAAGAATCACCCCAGGGTTTTGTATATAAGACAAAATAAATTGTTTTTGAAAGCCCTGGATAGCTCACTTCTGGAATTTTTTTTTTTTAAATCAATTTTCTCCTGTCGGGTTTTGCATATTCAAAATTTCAACCACCAGTCTATCTGCTTTTCCCATTGAAATGTTGGCTGCAGGGATCAGGATCAGAGCAGATTTGAAGGCTTCTTATTTTTACTTTTAAAATAAGTAATTTTAAAATTACTCTCTCTGAATTCAGAGAGAGAGAGAGAAGACAGGGCAAAAAAAGGTCTCTAGATCCCTCAAGCAGATGGAAATTTTCATTAAAAACAAAAAAAATTAAAACATCTTATTCAAGACATATAGTGTACTAGGTTCTACCAGTTTGTTTTGAGAATAGTGCAGAATAATACAAGATGGACTACATAGTTTCTACACAGTGAAGTATAAAAATAGCACCAAACAAATAGTAGTTAAAATGTATTATGCATTCGTGCTAAGCATTTTACATGTATTTAATTCTTAGCCCAAGCCAGTTTTACAAGTTTCTGAACCCAGATCTGCATTTGTAAAGCCCATGCTTTTAGCCACTGTGGAACCATAAGCAGTTTTCTGTCTAGTTGGTTGCCTTTTGTAAGTGCATTATAACTGGAACCAGGCAAAAATGATAAATTTGTGTTTTCTGTGAGGAGCTTATAAAGTAAAAGTTAGCACCAAACTTAACTTTTATCTTATTTTTTTAGAAGTTTATTTATTTTGACAGAGAAAGAGAGAATGAATATGCAAGCAGGGGAGGGGCAGAGAGAGAGGGAGACCGTCCCAAGCAGGCTCCACACTGTCAGCGCAGAGTCTGACTTGGGGCTGGAACTCATGAACCGCGAGATCATGAAGTGAGCCAGAATTAAGAATTGGATGCTTACCTGACTGAGCTACCCAGGTGCCCCTTATTATTATTTGTTTTGGCAGTGGTTCTCAGTGGGACAGTTTTACCTCCCAGGGGTCATTTGTCAATGTCTGGAGACTTTGTCACAACTGAGGAGTGAGTGACCTCGGCATCTAGTAGGTAGAAGTCAGTGATGCTATTAAACATTCTACAGGTAAAGGATACCCTTCACAACAAAGAATTATCTGGTACAAAATGTTTCTAGTGCTGTAATTGAGAAATCTTGCCATATCACTATTTCTTTAAGAAGAGGAATTAAGATTCGCTTATACTTTTCATCTTAAACATTTTTATTTTTGAAATTATTCCTTGGCTTGAAAGACATGTAAAGTTTATACGTCTGGAATAGAATAGCATCACTGGTTTTTAAAGTGAATCTGCGAGCTACTGTTTCCCAGGAAGTGGTTGTTGTAGAATGATGAATTCTGAGATTTGGGAAAGACTTTTGCTTGAAATTATTTTACAACATCCCTGCTGAGTTTCTACTTTAGGTCTCCTGTATCTGATTTCCCTCTATTTTAAACACACATCTAAACTACTCTTAACAATTACTTTTTCCTTCTACTGAGCTCCAGGCTCATAATTTTGACTTTACTGAATGTGATTATACTCCATGAATTCACACTTGTTAAATACATAATCTGTACGATGACAGTGTTTATATTTTTGTCTGGTACGGTTCATTTATTATAAATAGTATATTGTTGGAAACTTTTATAAACTAGCATTATCCTCTTGGTGACCTGTTCTTGGTGGTTGAAGGTGATAGGAACATATGGAGTTCTTTGGTCTCAGTCAAGCAAGGGCTCGATAGAGCTGGAGTCTTTAATAAAGTACTTTCTAGTGTCACACTGACATACTTGTTTAGATTATGCATAGACTCTAAGAACTTGAGTTTTCAAACTCTGGTCAGTATAATTTGCTTTAAAGAACAGGTAACTTCTATTTTAAGTTTTAATAAATTTGCTTACAAACAAGTCTGAAACTTGGTCCTGTTTCCAATCTGCCCTCTTCTAATCTTCTAACAAATTTGCTAGGTTTATAAGTAAATATAGGTAATTTGCTATCACGTCAAGATTCCAATTTTAGAAAATGTTTATCTTAAGACATACAATTTCAAAATATTCTTAATATACATCTTAAGAAATAGCATAGCTGTTTTTCAAGGTAAATAGAATTTTTTATTTAATTGTCTATTGACTTTTTTTTTTCCAGGGTTCATTGAAAAATCCTTAGTGATATTGACATGTTTCAAGTGACATAAATTAGCCAATGACTCGGAATGATGGATTCCCCGAAGATTGGAAATGGTTTGCCAGTGATTGGACCAGGGACTGATATAGGGATATCTTCACTCCACATGGTGGGGTATTTGGGAAAAGTTAGTGAACTTATTTTTTGCCTCAGTGCAAAGTTGGGTTTTTTTCCCTCCTTTTTTAGAGATTTAAATTTGGTTTTAATTTTCCAATTAACTCCTAAAAAATTGTATCTTCCACGGAAATCTTAACAGCAATGGCGAAAGATTATTTTAATGTATTTACCTCTCTGTGTTTTATTGGTTTGTGAAAGTAGAAGTAAAGCATAGACTTTGTGGTTTATTATTCTCTGAAAATATGGAATGTACATTTTCCTTGGCAGTTGACATTACTCTTTTTCTTGCAAGTAAAACTGATGCTATTTTTAACACTTAAAATTTAATATTTAAAACCATAGTACATTCTTTTTCGAGTAGTAGCTGTACTCAAAGCCTATCTGCATTTCTTTTATTTGCCATGTTTAAAATACCTAGCCAAAACACTTCAGGTGAAAATTGTAATTTTTTTCTGGTTTCTTTTTCATTTAGCTTTCTGTAATTTGATATACTTTAGGAATGTCTTTATTTTAATTTACTTTATTTCTTTTTCAGAATTATTCAGCTAAAGTCCCGTCAGATGGGTATTGCCCTGCTTGTAGAGAAAAGGGAAAGTTAAAAGCCTTAAAGACTTACCGAATTAGTTTTCAAGAATCTGTCTCTTTGTGTGAGGATCTGCAGGTAAAGTATTAATCTTAGGTAGTATCAAGGTTTTAGCTTTTTCTTCAGTATTTAAATTTGTATTAGTTCTGTATTTTTCAGGCTGTACATTTTTAATAGATATTCAGAGTTTCTAGATCTGTCCATTGTACAGTTTTAAATAATTCCTGTTATTTTTCCACTTCAGTTATTTTCCCTGAGGTATTGCGTGAAGATACTTGTTTTTATTATCATTAAACTTAATGAGGAGAGCATATACGTTTTAAGATTTATTACTTTTTCTATTAACGTTGTGGGGGTCCTTGTTAGTTGTTGTTGTATAATATAATAGTTACTCTTTCACTTCTTTGGTTTATAAACTTTGGAATTTACTGGAAAAGTTATTAATTTAATTCCTTAAGGATCTAAATGTCTTTTAAAATTAATTATAGGCTTTGTTTCCGGTGGTACAGCTTTCATATAAGAGCTCATTAAGAGCTCATTAACTCCATATTACTCTACATTTCATTGTACTTGACAGTTTATGAAATTGTTATATACATGTTTAGTTCTCAAAACTTTACAAGGTAGACATTTCCATTTTATCATTAAGAAATCAGATACAGAGGGTTTGGAAATATAAGATCTTTCTAAAGTGGCATAACTGTAGTTTAGTCTTTTATTTTCAGGTATGTTTTATTCCAGGTAAAGTAGTAGTTCATCAGAGTCACCTGGAGTACTTTTTAAAAATTTCTGGATCTCACACCCAGATGCTAATTCAGTAGAGTTGACCCAGAATTTTATGGTTTTGTAACTTTTAGGGATGAGTCTGATGATCAGTCAAATTTGCAAAATACTATCACCCTCTTGGTGATAGATATTTTTGCTAGGTATAACTTGAAGAAAATCTCAGGCATTCTTACAAATAGAAATACATTTCTTTTTCATTTATTCAGTACATTGTTTTCTGAGTGTCACCATATCATCATTGTTCCAAAGGCTGGGATACAATGGAAAAGCAAAAATTTCTTACCTCAAGATGGTTATGTTCTAGAGTAGGAAAGAAAATCAATAAGTAATATTTTTTGTGTGTGAGGTGATGGAAAGTGCCGTGGCAGAAAATAAAGCCCAGGGACTGGAGTGTTAGGGAATGTGTAATTTGCAGTTTTAGAGTGGTGAAGGGAACTCTTCATTGAGAGACATTTGAGCAAAGACCTGAAAAAGATGAAGACAAACAAGCCATGTGGGCATTGGATGAACAAGCATTCCAGGCAGGGAGAGTAGCAGATGGAAGGCCCTGAGAGAGTGGAGACTGCCTGTGCATGTTCTACTGCAAGGAAACTAGCAGAGCTGGATCTGAGGGACTGAAGCAGAGTAATAAAAGATGGCTCAGAAAAATAATGAAGAGGAGGTTGGACTGAGCAGGGTCCTACAGGCTATTTTAAGGTGTCTGGCTTTTACTGTGATGAAATGAAGAACCATAGCAGGGAGTGACATAATCTGACTTATATGTTAAAAGGATCATTGTGGCTCCTGTACTGAAAGTATATGTAATGGCCAAGACTGAAAGCAGGGAGACTAACTAGTTGGAAGGCAGTTAGAGTATTCTGTGGGGAGCGGTAGTGGCTAAGTGATGAGATGTGATTGGATTATCTATGTACTTTGAAAGTAGATCCAAAAAGTATTTGCTGAAAGATTGGGATACATACATAGTAGGAGAGAGAGGAATCAAGAATGATTCCCAGATTTTTGATTTTAATCATTGGAAGAGTGGACTTGCCAGAAACTGAGATGAGAAAGACTGGGAAGACGAAGATTTGAGGAGAAGATCAGGCCAGCACCAAGTCAAGCTCGAGACAGATAATCTGATACTTGATGATCAGGGTATATGGAATAAGTGGTTGGATCTATGTGTCTGCTTCTCTCTCTAGGTGGAGGAGAAAGTTAGATAAATTTGGGAGTCATCAACATGTATATAGTTGAACCATGACAGTGGATGAGTTTACCTAGAAGTACAGGTAGAGATTCCAAGGACTGAGCCCTATTAATACTCCAGCATTAAGAGATTGGGGAGATGAAGTGGAACCAGGAAAAAAGTGAGAGAAAGACAGTGAGGTAAGAGTAAACGCAGAAAGGAGAGTATTTCGTCCTGAAAGTCAAGTGAAAAAATATTTAAAGAAGAAATTATTTACTTTCAATGCCAGTAAGAACTCAAAGAGGATGAACTCCCCATTGGCCTACAGGTCACTGAGGACCTTAATGAGAATAATTCAGGTAAAGTATTAAATAAAAGTTTGATTGCTGGGAGTGATAGAAAATTGGGAGACGAAAAACTGAGAAATATGATGTGAGATGGTACCTAGAAGAGGAAGTTTGGAAGTTGGGAAAAATAACAGCATGTTTGTATGTTGACTATATCCAGTAGTGAGGGGAGAATAGAAAGTGGCATGGAATTGCTGGAGAGCTGCTGTTCCTGAAGCAGACATGGGCTCTGTTGCACAATTAGAGGGCTTCATTTTAGGCTTGATGGCTTTTTCTTTTTCTTTTTTTTTTTTTTTTTAATAGTTTATTGTCAGGTTGGTTTCCATATAACACCCAGTGCTCATCCCCACGAGTGCCCTCTTCCATGCCCATCACCCCTCCCCTCCCCCCACCCCCATTAGCCCTCAGTTTGTTCAGCATTCAAGAGTCTCATGGTTTGCCTCTCTCCCTCTCCCCCACTATTTTCCTTCTTCTTTTCCCCCATGGTCCTCCGTTAAGTTCCTCCTAATCCTCCTATACATGCAAACATGTGGTATCTGTCCTTCTCTGCCTGACTTGTTTCACTCAGCATAACACCCTCAAGGTCCATCCATGTTGCTACACATGGCCAGACTTCATTCTTTCTCATTGCCATATAGTATTCCACTGTATAGATGAACCACATCTTCCTGATCCATTTGTCCGTTGATGGACACTTAGGCTCTTTCCATGTTTTGGCTATTGTTGAGAGCGCTGCTATGAACATTGGGGTCCATGTGCCCCTATGCATCAGCACTCCTGTTTCCCTTGGGTAAATTCCTAGCAGTGCTATTGCTGCGTCATAGGGGAGTTCTAGTGTTCATTTTTTGAGGAACCTCCACACTGTTCTCCAGAGGAGCTGCACCAGTTTACATTCCCACCAACAGTGTAGGAGGGTGCGCGTTTCTCCACATCCTCGCCAGCATCTAGAGTCTCCTGATTTGCTCATTTTATTGACGGCTTTTTCTAACAGCAGACTATACAGCGAGTTTACTCATTAACTAGCTCAGAACAAAGTTGTAGAATGGGGAATATTGGAAAGAGAGGAAATGAATCTTCCTAGAAAAAAAACTTTTTTCCCCTCTTCCAAGCAATGTATAACATTTCAGTAGAGGACTACCAAAATTGAGAAGTCCGTGTCCTCAGGACATTGAGATATGGCCATTAAAGTTAGAGGTTATTTGCATGTTTAGTTTTGAAGCATTCTTTTTAAGTGATGAGGAAGAGAACATATAACCAAGAATTTTAAGCACAAACTTTGCAAATATAAAAAGAAAACTTTAAGGTAATTGTGATCTAAATTTTTAGAAAATGTTCCAGTCAGTAAGAGCCCAGTGTATTTTACGAGGTGGATTGGTTTACACCAGGAGTCAGCAGACACTTTGCATGACACCCATAGGCTAAAAATGGATTTTTAAATGATTAGGAAAGAGTATTCTTTAAGTGAAAATTATATGATTTCAGATTCCTGTGTCCATAAATAAAGTTTTATTGGAATTTAGTTGTACTCTATCATTTTTGTATTGTCTGTGGCTGCTTTTGTATTAAAATGGTAGTCTTGAGTTAATAACATTGACTAGCTTACAAAACCTAACATACTTTTTTGACCTTTTATAGGTAGTTTGCTGATCCCTGGTCTATAAGACCTTTGAGTCAATTTGTTAATTTCTGTAGAGTTTTATTATAGAATTTGGAGTCCACTGAACATTCTGCTTTCATTTGCCAAATTCTAAAGAACCACATGGGAAACCCTTAAGAAGTTTCTTGATTTGAAAAAAGCACTAATATTCAAACTCTGCTTCCAAAATAGTAAATTGAAACTCAGGTTTTTGAGGAGCGCCTGGGTGGCTCAGTTGGTTAAGTGCCCGACTTCAGCTCAGGTCATGATCTTACGGTCCGTGGGTTCGAGCCCCACGTCGGGTTCTGTGCTGACAGCTAGCTCAGAGCCTGGAGCCTGTTTCAGATTCTGTATCTCCCTCTCTCTCTGACCATCCTCTGCTCATGCTCTCTCTGTCTCTCTCTCTCTCTCTGTCTCTCTCAGAAATAAATAAAACATAAAAAAAAAAAAGAAAGAAGCTCAAGTTTTTGAAACTGTAGGGAGTTTTGACTTACCTTTTCTCTCTTTTTTGATTATTCCATTATTTAGTCTTTTATTGGAACATTTATTTAATTTTTTTTCAACATGAAATTTATAAGGCTTTTAAGCCCTTAGTGTTAAGCCATCAAAACTCATCTTTTTTTTATTTGTAAAATGAATATAAATTATTACTATCTTTGTAAATTGTTTTTATAGCTTGTTTCTGGCCATACCTTACAGGTAATTTTTCAAATATAAGGTAATGTGCAATGTTTTTCTGTTTTATAGAAATAAAGCAGGAATGTATTTAAGCTGCTCAAAATAATCACCAAAAGAGGTAGCATTAAATTTTAAATGCTCTTACATGGTTGGGCTAGATGGAGAAATTAGTACTCTGTGTTTCATTTTAGGACTTTTTCCCCTGTTTTTGAAGACAAGCCAGAAACTTCTATGGCATATGCTCATTGTAAATAAGGTAGGAACTAAAGTCGAGATATAAAACATAAAAATCCAAGGGCATTGATTGGGGCAAGGACAAATTATATTTTAAATTTGCGCTGTGATTGTACTACAAATTATAAATTGAAAACGTCAGTTAAGATATTTGCAAATAATTCAGGGGCAAAACCATCTAGGCCACTAAATTTTGCAGCCTCAGGGCCCTTAATGGTTTATTGATTTTTTTTTTTTAAGTTAAGTTTATTTGTTTTTTTGTATTTAAGTTTATTTGTTTACTTTGAGAGAGAGCAGGAACAGGTAAGGGACAGAAGGAGAGACAGAGAGAGAGAGAGAATCCCAAGCAGCAAGCAGTCTCCACCCTCAATGCAGAGCCAGACACAATGCTCTGTCTCACAGTGGTGAGATCATGACCTGAGCCAAAATCAAGGGTTGGAGGCTTAACTGACTGAGCCACCCTGGTGCCCTATGGTTTATTGCTTTTAGTTAAGCAGGGGTGCTGGTGGGATGTGCACACCATTTTTTAACTATGAGATCAATTAAGATTTCTTATTTTTAAATTTGTTTTGTTGAAAAAAAATTTTTTAATTTTACTAATGTAAAAAAAAATGAAATTTACCATCTTAATCATTTTTAAGTGTACAGTTCAGAAGTATTAGTTATATTCCCATTATTGTGCAACAGATCTCTAGAACTTTATTGTCTTTTTTTTTTTTTTTAAATGTTTTATTTATTTCTAGGAGAGAGAGAGAGAGAGCGTGAGCAGGGGAGGGTCAGAGAGAGAGGGAGTCACAGACTGAAACAGGCTCCAGGCTCTGAGCTGGCAGTCAGCACAGAGCCCGACGCGGGGCTCGAACCCACGAACCGCGAGATCATGACCTAAGCGAAAGTCGGATGCTTAACCGACTAAGCCACCCAGGCGCCCCTAGAACTTTATTGTCTTGAAAAACTCAAATTCTGTATGCACAGAATGACAACTGCTCCTTTTCCTCTCCCCACCCCTTGGCAGCCACTATTCTACTTTTAGTCTCTATGAATTTGACTACTTTAGGTGTTTCATATAAGTGGAATCATACCATATTTGTCTTCATGACTGACTTATTTTACTTAGTCCTCAGTGTTGATCCATATTGTAGCCTGTGACAGATTCCTTTACTTTTTACGGCTGAGTAGTAGTCCACTGTGTATAGGACATTTTCTTCATCCATTTGTTCATTCGTGGACATTTGGGTTGCTTCCACCTCTAGGTATTGTGAGTAATGCTGCAGTGCATAAGGGTATGCAAGTATCTCTTTGAGGTCCTGCTTTCATTGATTTTGGATATATACCTGTCTATAACTGAATAGTTATTGCTGTCACTTTTCAAGTGTTCTCTTTTTTCTGACATACCGTAGGATTTAGGAAATAATCTCGAGGTATAAAGTTGAGAGTCAAGTTATTAGTTGATGGTGAGTGCATTACTAGTTGGTAACAGTCGGAAGAATCCAGAACTTGTCCTGTTAAACTAAAGAATGTCATAAGTACAGTGTTAATAGTGTTCACTTGTATAGAAGCAGCTGTACTTCAAATAAAAGCGTTTAATGCATTTCAGTATCTGTTGCTCAAAACCTAGTGACTAAAAAAATTTTAAAGCTTTACTTATTATTCCTCATGATTCTATGGGCTGCCCAGGTAGTTCTTAACACTTTACCTGCTATTGGCTGGGACACCTGAAGTGTCTGCATGGCTGGCATTAGTACTCTTTGCCCACAGGGAACTCTGCTTAGGCAGTCAGCCAGGATCCCAGTTCTTTTCCATGAGGGTCTCTCCATGGGGCTCCTTTGGCTCTTCACAGTGTGATGGATAGGACTTCTTTAAGAAAGAGTGTTCCAGAAGGAGGGCTCCAAAAGGACTAGCCCAGTGATCCCATACTTAACCAGGCTTCCATGTATAGCATGCTTGCCAACATCCCATCAAAGCTGGTCACATGCCTAAACCCAGAGTGGTATGTTGGGGGGCTCTGAATCTATCAGGGCATGAATACCAGGATGGGTAGTTCTTTAGTTCATATGAGGCCACCAAGGTAGCTGTTAGCATGCTTATGTAGAAGAAGGCATATAGATCTCTTGAATTTGTCTTTTAAAATATTTTACTAGTTTTCAAACTAAGTGATTTGTTTACACTTTTGATATTTGGCTGAAATTGTGTTAATACATAGTGATATTTGATGTTGTTAAAAATCTGCCAGTTTGACTCTTAGATCCAATAAAGATGTAAAATTGATATGCTGATGTGCTCTCAGATTAATACTCAGGTTGTTTTTTTTTTTAATATTTATTATTTGGAGAGAGTGCGAGCAGAAGAGGGGCAGAGAGAGAATCCCAAGCAGGCTCTCTGCAGACAGCACAGAGCCCCATGTAGGGTTTCATCCTTCGAACCCCAAGATCATGGACCTGAGCCGAAATCAAGAGATGTTTAACTGACTGAGCCACCCAGGGACCCCTAATATTCAGCTCTAAAATAGAGATACAGGAATTAGTCCTGCAACTCTTTTTTATTTGAAAATACTTTTCCAGTTTTTAATGTTTGCAGTGTACCTGTCCCAAAAAGAATACTATTCATCATAGAATGTTTCTTTAAATTGTTGAAATTTTGTCAATTCACTCAGCATTTGATTTTTTATTAAAGCAGAAACTGTATGTTTTCCTCGTTAGCTTACTCTACTGTGGATCAGATTAAACCTTTGATTGTTCAAATTAACTAGGGAAAATTACTTTGAGGGAGCCAAAATATTGGTTAAATTCCTAGTTCCTTTAAGTTTAGATTTATAAAATTGTACTAATGCTAAATTTTTATACATACGTTTGATGACATAAATTATAATATAAAACTTGAGCTTATTTGACTTTTTTGTAGTTTTTATCATTTTATATTTTCTTTCTAGTGCATCTACCCTTTGGGCTATAAATCACTTAATAACTTAATTTCTCCTGATTTGGAAGATGGTCCCAATAAGTCTCAAAAAAGAAAGTTGGAAACCAGCTATAAAGATTCACCTCTTTTAGCAAATGCCAAAAAGACTAAAAATCACACTGTTACTGATGGCGAGCAAGGTTTGAAGAGCAAACGCGATGGAGAAGCATATGGTGAAACCTTATTGAGCTCACCTGCTTTACCACACAGTGGACCACAGCACCCAGACGGGACAGCTGGCTCGTTGGAACAGAATGAGAGTTTGGAGGCTGACATTATTGATGAGGCTACTGAAGAGGCTCCTACTACAGCTGATGTTTCTGGAACTGGAGGGGTTTCCCCTCACAACGCAGGAAGCACATTTGAACTGGAAATGCCATTGGAGAGCAAATGTACATCACTTTGCCAGTCTTCATCCGTCCAGTGGAGAAATGCTAATGCTCTCTGTTGGTTAGATTGTATTCTGTCAGCACTGGTGCACTTGGAAGAGTTAAAAAACACTGTGGCTGACCTATGTTCTAAGGAGGAATCTGTGTTCTGGCAGTTGTTTACCAAGTATAATCAAGCCAGTAAGCTTCTGCACACCAGTCAGTTCGATGGAGTGAAAGGTTGGTAATAATATTTAATTTCTCTTTTTATTTATTTTTAAATGTTTCCATTTTTGAGAGAGTGAGTGGGGGAGGAGCAGAGAGAGAGGGAACAGAGAATTCGAAGTGGGCTCCGTGCTGACAGCACAAAGCCTGGTGCAGGACTTGAACTCACAAACCCTGAGATCATAGCCTGAGCTGAAGTTGGATGCTCAGCTGACTGAGCTACTCAGATACTTTTGTCTTTTCCAGTGGTTGATGTCCAGTTTTGTCTCCTCTATGTGGAAAAGATACAAAACAGATCACTCATTATCCCACAGCTCCCCCAAAATCTCTAATCTCAATTAATGATATATATAATATTTTTCTTATAAAATGGGATACCAATGAACCCACCTCCCAACTCCAGAAGAATTAATATATTCCCAATTATTTAATCTATTTATATGTTCTTCCCCTCTCATCTTCCGTCTCCCCCAAGGGAAATAATTATTCGTAGATATGTTTTATCATTCCAATTTTTTTCTTTCACATATGTTTATGGTACTAAACAGTATTGCCTACTTTAGTTTGTTTTGAACATTATATAAATGATGTCAGTGTGTCTTCTAGGGCATTTTTTTCTTTTTATGAAGATTCATCTATGAAGTTGCTTGTATTGGTAGTTCATTATTTTTCATTGCTATAAATTTCCATTTAAAAAAATTTTTTTAGGGGCACCTGGGTGGCTCAGTCGGTTGGGCTCAGGTCATGATCTCACGGTTCGTGGGTTCAAGCCCCACATCGGGCTCTGTGCTGACAGCTCAGAGCCTGTTTCGGATCCTGTGTCTCCCTCTCTCTCTGCCCCTCCCGTGCTCATGCTCTGTCTTTCTCTGTCTCACAAATAAGTAAATATTAAAAAAAAAATTTTAATGTTTTATTTATTTCTGAGACTGAGAGAGAGACAGCGTGAGCAGGGGAGGGTCAGAGAGAGAGGGAGACATAGAATCCGAAGCAGACTCCAGGCTCTGAGCTAGCTGTCAGCACAGAGCCTGACGCGGGGCTCAAACCCACAAACCGTGAGGTCATGACCTGAGCTGAAGTCAGACGCTTAACCAGCTGAGCCACCCAGGCACCCCTATAAATTTCCATTTTGTAAATATATCAGTATATTTATTAATTCAACTGTCATTGAGTTTTTTGCCATTATAAATACTTGGGCTCATCTAGAGAGTTTCTCTTGAGTATACCATAGGAATGGAATCAAATCTGAGTTCCGATTTACAAGATAATGACAAATTGTTTTCCAAAGTGGTTGTACCAATCAATACATTAGCAACATGTAAGAAGAGATCTTCCTTCCCTCCTTCCTTCCTGGTCCTTCTTCCTGATCGATATATTCTGCCTTGGTTATTTTCACACTTGGAGAATTTTACTATTTGATTTAAAATGAGTTGTCGTCTTGATTTGCCTTTCCCAAAATTAGTTTAATTTGAGTTAACACAGTGTTATGTTACTTTCAGGTGTACAGTAGAGTGATTTAGCAGTCCATACATCACCCAGTGCTCATCACTTCTTAGTCCCCTCACCCCCCACCAACCTCTCTGCCTTTCCCAAATTTTAAAGGTTTGGATAGCTCTTTATGTGTTAAATTGATCATATGTTCCCTCTTGTGAAACGCCTGTGTCTTACCGCTATTTGTTCTGTTGTCATGTTCTTGTTTGATTTCTATAGGTTTTTGTTATCTTTCTGTCAGGTATGTGTTGCTAAATCTCCCAGTTTGTATCTTGTATTTTCACTTTTCTAAAGATATCTTTTGACGTACAGAAATTGTTAATCTTTCCTTTTGTGGCTTGTAATACTTATGGCATTTAAAAGGAGTCTTTCCTTTTCCCAAGATCAGAAACTTATTCATCTATATTTTCACTGAAAAGTGAGAAAGTTTTGTGGTTGACATCGAATTTTTTTCAATGAGTGAGTGAGTGAGTGCAAGCGGGGGAGGGGCAGAGAGACAGGGAAAATGAATCCCAAGCAGGCCTCACACCAGCAGCACAGAGCCCCATGTGGGGATTCAAACCCACAGTCTGAGATCATGACCTGGGCTGAAGCCAAGAGTAGGACACTTAACCAAATGAACCATCCTTGCACCCCTACAGTGAATTTTTAATTCAGCCGAAGTTAACTTTTGTGCGTGATAAGGATCCCTTATTTCCCCCATTGCCTAGCTCTGCTTTTTTCCTCCGTTTGTCTGCCAGTCCACCTTTGTCAATAGCCATCCATTTATTTGTGCCACTGTTCCTCCCAGTTCTGTTTTCTTGGTTACTTTGTCCCTGTGTCAGCATCACACTCTTAATTATTGGGTTTTTAGGTCTTGCTGTCTGGAAGTATCAGAATCCTTACCTTTATTCAGCTTGGCTTTGATCATGCAGTCTTTTACATAAATCCTACACATTGTTTTCCCAAGAATCCTCACCTTTATTCAGCTTGTTTTTGATTAATGCCATCTATTATATAAAGCTTATACACAGTTTCCCCATTGTTGACCATTTTTCCATCCCTGCACCGATGCCACGCTGTTTTAATAATGGCAGCTTTTTGAAGTCTTGCTTTCTGGTAGGGCAAGAACCCTTACGTTTCTTCAACATGACTTTGGTGATGCGGTCTTTTATATAGAAGTCTTGTATGTTCCCCTGTTGCTGACCACTCAGACTGCTCATTAGTTTTTCAGTTATGAATAATCTTCATGACAAACATTCATATATCCTTTGAATCCTCTGCTGATTTTATCCTAGAAGGGATATTAAAATGTGAATATAAAAAATCTTTCTCAGTGGTTTTATAGAAGGGTTATATTAGCATATAATTCCATTATTATAACGTAGAAGAACACATCCCAGAGCGCTCTTAGATCACCTTTGGGTATAAACATTTTAAATGTTATAATTTTGTTAGATAAGTGTTTTTTTCAATTTGAGTTTCTTTGGGATTGAATTTTTTATAATTTTTAAAATCCAGTGTTTCACGAGCATTTTTGTTTTTTTCTTTGAATTTCTATAATTGTAGGAACCCCAGTACTAAGTTAGGTGACAGTTCAGTTGATGATTATTGCAGAAGCAGATGAGCTTATTTCCATCCATTCTAATTTTGACTTGCATTAATTTTAATTATATTTATTTTTTTATAAAGCATAGCCACTTTATTTTTTGTGTTTCTTTTTTTTTTAATTCCACTGTAATTTACATTCAGTGTTATATTAGTTTCGGGTGTACAATATAATGATTCACCAGTTCTCTATGTTACTCAGTGCTCATCACAGTAAGTGTACTCTTAATTCTCTTTACTTCACTCATTTTATATGTTCAGTCATACTAATTTTTTAACAGAGTAATTGTAGTTTGTATAATATGGTTGTAAATACGTTTAAGTTGACTTTGAATTGTAAGTTTTCTCTTCTCTTTTTGGCATGGTCAAATAAAAGTTCCAGTTAATGCTTACTTCATATTATAGGGGAATCCAGATATTTTCATAGTAAGATATATCAACAGAGTATGATCAGGCTGTATGAATTATTTGTAAGAGGTTTTGGTGAAATGTTTTGTAGCTTAAGAATAACTAGACTCAGATGCATATGGTAGCTTTTATTCAAAATAGTTTTCTTATTAATCTTAGATAGTTTTCTGTCACAGTAGTTCCATTATGAAGACTTTAACCCCAAAGAAATGAACAAAAACATGGATAGTATGTGCCCAAAAGATGTTTATCATGATAGTGTTTATAATAGTGAAAAAATAACCAACTTAAATGTCCAGCACTAGAGAAATTGTTAATAAACCTGTGGTTCAGTTGGAATGTAATAACTAGCCTACAGATTTTTTAATGATGCAAATTTGTGTGAAGTAAGCAGGATGTATAAACGTTAAGTAAGCAGAATTGTATAAACATGCTGACACTGAAGACCCCTTCACTGCCCGCAACCCCACAAAGACAAGAGAAGGAGGGAGCTATACCAAATATTAGTTTGGGAAATAATTATACTTTTATCTGCTCCTGTGATCTGGTTAAGTTTAATAAAAGTTGTACCCAAAAAAAAAAAAAAAAATGATTAGATGTCTCTAGCATAAGTAATAATCACAAGTAAAGACATAGCATCAGCTGTTTCAGAGATAGGCAGACTATCTGAAAGCGTAGCTCTTGCTAGGCCTGTGATTATTTGGGTGAGGAAAGCTTTCACTGAGATTTACTCAAGCACAAAGATGTTGCTCATGCAATAGGTATTAATGATACTGGGCTGAGGAAATATTAAGGCAATGTATGGTATAACACAGAGGAATAAGAATTAAGGAAATTTTGTGTTTTCCATTTTGTCTCTGCAAAATGTATTGACTCTGATGAACTTTCATTCTTGATAATGTCTTAATTTTCTGTGGAAGATACAGATTGATGGGAGGTTGATAATCTGTATTTCACTTCTAGATGGAGATTGTAAAAAACTTCCTTCAGAAATATTTGCAAAGATAGAGACCTGTCTGAATGAAGTCAGAGATGAAATTTTCATTAGGCTTCAGCCTCAGCTTAGATGCACATTAGGTAAGTAATTTGTGTAAATTAACCATACTACTTATCTACCATAAAGAAATCCTCACATTGTAAGGAAATCTAATACTATTTTATTACTTTGGGTGATTAGATGCTAGGGAGAAAGAATCTGTAGAGTTTCATTTAGGAACCTACCGCTGGTTAAATCATTGGGAGGTAGAGCTGTTCCATATAAATATACATGCAGGCTTTTGTCCTACCCCTTGAAAGTGGATGCAGTTCTCAGAACCAGGTGGTTGCTTTTCTAATATTTCCTTCCAGTAGACTAATTCTGTGTTTTCAGCCTTGGCTATGCATTAAAAAGTACCTAGGGAATTGAAAAGTACTTGAGTCCATTAAATAAGAATGTCAAGGATGGAGCTTACAAGCCCCGTGTGATTCTTAAGGATGGACAGCATTAAGAATCTCTGATCCAAAACCAACCATAGTAATTCATCTTCCCTTGACAGTGATTGGTTTAAGAGTTGACATACACAGTTTTCACTGATAGAAAGTGAGAAGAAATATACTGATGAGCTTTTGGGAAAGCTTTCTTTTAAAGAGGGCACAATAATGAGACTGGCTTTGTTCTCTGTGATTTGGCTTTTGGCATTGGAGCAGAGTGGAGCTAGGAATGCTAGAGTCCCAGGGCTTCTAAATTTTTTTGATATTGCAAAAAACAGCCAGTAGTGATTTTTTTTAAGGGTATTTTCTTTTTGTTTTGTTTCTCTTTATCCTTGTATTGACTCCTCTACTAATATTGTGTGGTAGCAAAGAATACAGGATATCTCTATTAGTATATTATCTATGTTGAGTTATATAAAATATCAGCGCCTTCAAATTTTTTTCTCAGAAAATTTATTTCATCGGACTCAGATACTATATATGGAAGCAGTCTTTTTTGCATGGTAGTATCTTTGTCCCACAATTCTGTCCCCCTAGTTTTATTATTTTGTTTTGCATGAGCTTCTACCTATATGTTTACTCTGTTCCTAAAATAATAAACTAAATTTCTATATGCCAAATCTTTGGCATTGTCTCCTTTAAGTCTAAAGGGCTATTGTAACTTATAGTCAGGTAGGATCTCAGATATGATAAATATTCTTTTTTTTTTTATCCAAGTATAATTTAGATATAGTTAAACTCTTTTTAAATGTATACAGTGTGTATAACCATTACCACAATCAAGTTAGAGAACAGTTCTGTCACCCTAAAAATTTTCTCAAGGCTCCTTCAGTCCTTGTTCTTACCCCCAACCACTGATCTGTTGGGTGGATACTCATTTCAAAGGAGCCTTTTCCGTAAGATTACCAGAGGGTCGACTGAGGGGCTCCTGTGGTACATTTTGCAGGTATCATTTCCCTCCCGGAGTGACGTGAGATATTTTATTTAGGGTTCCTACTCCACTTCCCAGTTGTATTCAAGAGTGGTTTCTCTCCAGGTCTGTATCACCACCTTTCTTAGCCCTGATAACTGTATCTGGAACAGGGTTACATCTTGCTCCACTGCTGCCTTGGGCCTGGTTTTCTGTGGGACAGAGTAAGGGATTTAAAAAACCTTTTTTTTTTTTTTTTAAAGTTTATTTTTGAGAGAGACAGAAGATGAGGGGAGGGGCAGAGAGAGAGAGAGACATAGAATTTGAAGCAGGTTCTAGGCTCTGAGCTGTAAGCACAGAGCCCGATGTGGGGCTCAAACTCACAAACTGTGAGATCATGACCTGAGCTGAAGTCAGATGCTCAATGGCTGAGCCACCCAGGTGCCCCCAGAGAAGGGATTTTTAAATTATTATTTTGTGCAGTCGTAGCAATTGGGCATGCGTACAGCTCTTCTTCTTTTTTTAAATGTTTTATTTATTTCTGAGAGAGTGAGAGACAGCATGAACACGGGAGGGTCAGAGAGAGAGGGAGATACAGAATCTGAAACAGGCTCCAGGCTCTGAACTAGCTGTCAGCACACAGCCTGACATGGGGCTCGAGCCCACGAACCATGAGATCATGACCTGAGCCAAAGTCGGACGCTTAACCAACCGAGCCACCCAGGTGCCCCCAGCTCTTCTAATACAATAAAATTCCTCACTCATTTGTGTTCATACTACTCATTCAACAGTATTAGGTGCTGTGTTAGAGCTTAAGATCTTAGCAGTGAAATCTAATCTGTGCTAAATAAATAAAAATAAACTTAAAAATAGTATTTTAAAATCATACTATGTTTGTGTCTTCATTCTTTAGTGCCTATTTTAAATTCCTAAAGAAAGAGAAATAGAATCTGTACTGACTCTGAATGTTGGTTACATTTTTTTTTAAGATCAGCCATGGTATCATTTTATTGTTTTTAAAAAATACATTGTAGCCTATCCTCTCTATTCCCCCTCCCTGCAGTTTAAGAAATAGAAGACATTACAAATACGAGTTAAGCCCCGTGTATACTCTTTCCTGTTCAGTTCTTCCTTACCTCCCCACAAAGGTAACTGTACTCTTCAATTTAGTTTTCTCTTTCTTTTTTTTTTTTAATTTTTTTAATGTTTTATTTATTTCTAGGAGAGAGAGAGAGAGAGAGCGTGAGCAGGGGCAGGGGAGGGTCAGAGAGAGAGGGAGTCACAGACTGAAACAGGCTCCAGGTTCTGAGCTGGCAGTCAGCACAGAGCCCGACGTGGGGCTCGAACCCGCGAACCGCGAGATCATGACCCAAGCGAAAGTCGGACGCTTAACTGACTAAGCCACCCAGGCGCCCCTGTATTTATGCAATTTTAAAGATTAATTTAGTCTTTGAGACTTGTGTGCCAGGGTAAGGACACAGACCAGTAGAATAGAATAGAGTCCAGATGAAAACCCTCCTCTTTTGCTTACCTAATAGTGTGACAGGGGTGGTGATATAGATAAGTGGGGAAAGGAAAGGCTGTCCAGTAAATGGTGCTGGGACAATTTGTTCCTGAGACAGGGAGGAAGTTGGATTCCTGCTTGACACTATCATCAGAAAGAAACTTTAGCGTATTTAAAGACTTAAAGGACGCCCGAGTAGCTTGGCTCAGCTCATGAGCTCGCAGTTCATGAGTTGGAGCCCCACATTGGGCTCTGCCCTGACAGCGGAGTGCCTGCTTGGGATTCTGTCTCTCCCTCTTCTCTCTGCCCCTCCCCCACTTGCACTTGTGTGCACGCTTTAAGTGGGAAAAAAAAATACCTTATCATGAAAAAGCAGAATTCTAAATCTTTGGGAAAAATTATAGGTGAATATTTTTCCATTCAGTGGAGAAGAATTTCTTAAATAAGATACATAAAATAGTAATAGATATGATTACATTGAAGTTTAAAACCTCTGAGCAAAGATAGAACAAAAATAATATCCTGGCTATCTTCTAAAGAACTCCTGTACATCAATTTCTTAAAAAAGACAACCAAGGGGCGCCTGGGTGGCTTAGTCGGTTAAGCGTCCGACTTTCGCTTGGGTCATGATCTCGCGGTTCGTGGGTTCGAGCCCCGCGTCGGGCTCTGTGCTGACTGCCGGCTCAGAGCCTGGAGCCTGTTTCGGTCTGTGACTCCCTCTCTCTCTGACCCTCCCTTGCTCACGCTGTCTCTCTCTCTCTCTCCCAGAAATAAATAAAAAATAAAAAAAAATAAAAAAAAAAAAGACAACCAATTAATGAGCAGAAGAGAAAATTTGGCTAGCTGGGCAGCAAAAGGTCACTGAAAGATTTGTATCCTGGCAAATGATAGTATTTTAGGGATATATGCAAAATGGTAGTTGGGTAGGAGTTGGGGTGAAGATACTAGGGGCAAAGAAACCACTTAACTGATTTCAGCAGGAAGTTATAAAAATTGGAATTAATTGGTATTGCATGTTCTCTAGTAAATGCTTTATGCTTAATACCCATAAGAGTTGTAAACAAAAGAAAAATAATTAAGGTTAATTTAGGAGCTATATAAGTTATCTAAAATGGTCTGTATGCATATAACTTGTTTAACAGTGTGTTTTGAGCTCTTTTATGATTTTTTTCTCATGATATTTTGATTTACTGAGAGCTTCATATAGTTTTGGATTTAAAGATTCTATGTTGTTATTAAGAAATGTAAATTATTTGCTTTCAATTAATATTTAGCTATAGTACAGTAAGCATTTAGTAACTGTTACAAGCTCATGCTGTACTATGCCCTGTTTACGTTGTTTACATGTGTTGTATTTATTTCTGTTTATAAAACTTCTTTTTTGATTTTTAAATTTTTATAAAAATAGCAGTGGGGCTATACCACAAAGGTGACTGTTAACATAGCCTTTGTTAACTACTGGTATAGAGTGTGCTTAGGCAGTAACACCCACTGCTCTTTGCTTGTGTCCTGCCAAGGTGACTCCTCCTGGCCACGCTCCAGGCTGCTGTAGCTCCAGGCCAGGGGAAGAACTGGACCATGGAAGTGAGTGTCTCAGGGGAGCCAGGGAAGGGAAGGCCTCCATTGTTTCTAGGGCTGGATCAGAATGGCAGCATCTAAGCTCCTCTGAGGACAGGAAGGCAAGAAACCAACTGTAGAACAAGTGTAAGAGGAGAATGTAAATCTTCCTATTTAATTTGCCTGCTAATCTCAAAACTGGAGGACCGGATTCACTGTTCAGTGTTTAAGGACAGCAGAATTCAGATCTTCTCTAGTCTTAAAGTCATTGAAGTTTAATTTTAATTGACAAAAGATGAGACTAACAGATTTTAAGAAGAGTGATAGATGTAGAGCAGGGAGATTAGAGGCTAGCCCTTGAACCCTGTGTGTCACGCCCTCCACACGTAGAACTAGAGGGGCGGAATAGAAATCGCTTTTTAATGGGTTAGTCCACCTCTGCCATTACTCTACCATGTTTCACCAGACATATTATTTTTAGTATCTGTGGCAAACCATATGTGTCTGTTTTGTTTTTATAATATTTCAGAGCTGTTAACAGCTCTGAGGAGATAGTATGGGTCTTTTGTGTCTTCTTTCTTAAGAAGTTTTCATAAGTGTCCACCAAGAAAAATGAAAGACAGGGACTTAGGTGATAATTAAATCTTTATGATAGACATTTTTAGAAAAATGCTTTAAAAACTTTTCCCTTGCCCAACTGTGAGTAACTTACTCTGTCAAATATTCATGTTTTCACATATATCTTACTGTGAATGTAGTGAGAAAAGATAATAGTTAATAATTTGGGTTTACTTTTTTCAGTCGATTATGAACAATAATTTTCCCTTTTCTTTTTACAGGTGATATGGAAAGCCCAGTGTTTGCACTTCCCCTGCTCTTAAAAATGGAACCCCTCATTGAAAAGCTTTTCATGTATTCTTTCTTTTGGAATTTTGAATGCTCACAGTGTGGGCACAAGTATCAAAACAGGTTAGTTTTTCTCTTTTTAAAAATGGACTCATTCTATTGAAAATGGTTCTGAGTAATAGAATTTTAATAAAACTAGTATTTGTAGCATTGCTGTTTCCCAGGTTCCTTCTGCCCTCAATAAAATTTCCTACTGGGGTGCGTGGGTGGCTCAGTTGGTTAAGCGTCTGAGTTCGGCTCAGGTCATGCATAAACTTACCGTTCATGGGTTCAAGCCCCACCTTGGGCTCTGTGCAGAGAGCTTGGAGCCTGCTTCGGATTCTGTGTGTCTCCCTCTCTCTCTGCCCCTTTTCCACTCTTGCTCTGTCTCTCAAAAATAAATAAAAATGTTAAAAAAAGATTTCCTAGGGGCGCCTGGGTGGCTTAGTCAGTTAAGCGTCCGACTTTCGCTTAGGTCATGATCTCACGGTTCGTGGGTTCAAGCCCCGCGTCGGGCTCTGTGCTGACTGCAAGCTCAGAGCCTGGAGCCTGTTTCAGTCTGTGACTCCCTCTCTCCCTGACCCTCCCCTGCTCATGCTGTCACTCTCTCTCTCCTAGAAATAAATAAAACATTTAAAAAAAAAAAAAAAAAGATTTCCTATCTATCTTGAAGTTTCCCCACCATTAAGATTAACAAGAAAAATTTGAGCCACAGAAACTGCAATTGGCTTGCTGCTTTCAACTGGAAGAGTAAAACACCGTGGTTTGCTGGGTTACTAGTAGTTTTCTTTTTCTTTTTCTTTTCTTTTTTTTTTTTTAAATTTTTTTAATGTTTTATTTATTTCTGAGAGAGAGAGAGAGAGCCAGCGTGAGCAGGGGAGGGGCAGAGAGAGAGGGAGACAACAGAATCTGAAGCAGACTCCAGGCTCTGAGCTAGCTGTCAGCACAGAGCCCGACGTGGGGCTCGAACCCACAAACTGTGAGGTCATGACCTGAGCCGAAGTTGGACGCTTAACCAACTGAGCCACCCAGGCGCCCATACTAGTAGTTTTCTTAAGTGGGGACAAATGGGAAGAGAAGTATATTCCCCCACAACCCCCACTCTGGATTCCCTGCTGAGGTAGAATACTTCTTAGAATTCCTTGAAATGTTATGTGTTTTGTTTGCTCCTCTGTTAGCAACTAGAAACTGATTGAGGCTCTGGGAGTCGGCGGTAGTTCTGGGAAGAACTTAGGCCCTTCCATTCCTCCATGAAAGACCAGCCACCACCAAATCCTCTTGCATATGAATGGTCTCAGCCTACTTCCCACTTCCCTGATGCCCCGGGTGAGGATTTGAAGGCTCATAATTGACACAAAGTCATTTTATGCCCTGAGATTGGGACTTGAGAGGAACCATGGAGAAGAAAGCAGCCGACCATTTCTTTTGCTTCCATACACCGACCACATAACAAGAAGAGAAAGTTGGTTTGGGAAGAGGAGTCAGAGAACGTTTTCATCACACATGATACCTTCACTTTGTCCATACATGAGAAAGTTGCTGACTGGCAGTTACCAAATTGGTTCTGTTGGTCATTTATTCAAATTACTGTAATAGAGATCAATACTTCCCTCTTTTCTTAAACTCACCCACTACTAGCAAATTAGAAAATTTGGAGTTAAATTATTAAACAAAATATTTAAAATTAAATAGATTTAAAATTATTAAATAAAAATGTGAGAGAAAACTATTGTTTAGATATTCATTATCTAAATTCAGATCATTTTTGGTATTAAGAATCGAAGAGAGTCAAGTCTGAGAGAATGTTCTAGGGAATGCAAACAATAGAACCAGAAGACATTTGTTTTTTTTTTTTACCAGTTGGCTCAAAAGTAGTAAAACAGTAAGAATGAGCATTTCACTCACACCTAGGACTTAAATAATTTTCTATAATGAGTATAAGAACAAGTATCTATTTCCTGGTCTTCTATCACTGGTTTATATAAATTATCTAATTTTTCTCCTCATTTGACAGATGTGGATACTGAACGTTGAAAGGGATAAATAGACACCCAAGGTGACACAGTAGTAAATGGCAAAACTCAGGCTTACATTTTCTGGCCTCAGAATTTCCTGCTCACTGTAGTATACTCCCTGATCACCACCTGGATTATAAGTATTACAAACAAGCTCAATGATTAAAATCACCTTAATTACAGCTTTTCCAAAATCTACATCTGAGTTGTTTGACCGCTTTTCATTGAGTGTATTTTATGTGCCAGGAACTCAACAGAAATAATCTTTATCCTGGCCAAATTCAGACTAGTTAGTTAGGGAGATAATATATAAACACATATTTAAGGGCCAGTGACTTAGTAATTATTTTGATCTGGGGGCTAGATTAAGTTACTTTGATTACTTTGAAGACAGTGCATTTTGGAGGTGTGTTAAAAAGACTCAGAGGGCTCAGGGGAAAGAAGCCACTGGCCATTTGAGTTTGCTGTTTTCTGGTGGTGTTTTCTTTTTTTTTAATTCCTTTGTTCTAAAAATAAGTAGTTCTAGAGGAAAATCTAAAATTAAGTGGCATTTCATTAAATACATCTTAATATATCATAATTTAAAACTATTTCCACTGAATCTAATGTGAGAATATCCAGCAAACTCATCTGGTTTTGTGCTGCTTTTTTTGTGCCAGCTTAGGATCTTTTACTTGATTTATATTCTGGAGGCAGTTATTTACATAGTCTTTGGAGTCAGACTCCTTGGATTAAAATCTCAAGCCTGTCACTTATCATCTGATATGTAGTCTGTATTTCACTTTCCTCATCTGTAAAATGGGGATAAGAGTAGTATCTGCTGCTTTAGGGTGGTTTGGGAGAGGAGCACTTAGCCCAGCTCCCTGCCACACGCATGCATAGTAAGTGCTCAAAAATGTTAGCTGTCATGTGGAACAGGAACATTTATTTGCAGAGGCAAGTCTCTTTTAGAGACTAAAAAATAGGCGCCTTTACTTAACAGTCATCTGTGAGAATTAAGAATTTACTAGAAGTAAGTCATTCCATTTTGTTGATAACTTTATGCTGCTTGCTTTTAAAAATGTTAGCTTCCCGGGGCGCCTGGGTGGCTTAGTCGGTTAAGCGTCCGACTTTCGCTTAGGTCATGATCTCGCGGTTCGTGGGTTCGAGCCCCGCGTCGGGCTCTGTGCTGACTGCCAGCTCAGAGCCTGGAGCCTGTTTCAGTCTGTGGCTCCCTCTCTCTCTGACCCTCCCCTGCTCACGCTGTCTCTCTCTCTCCTAGAAATAAATAAAACATTTAAAAAAAAAAAAAAATGTTAGCTTCCCTGAGCACTGCTGTATTTGTAATAGCCTGTGCTCATCCCACTTAACGATTGGTCAAGATTTGTTGTTACTGTTTAGGAAAAAAATAGCATCTTTCAGGTAATCAATTGCTCTTTTAAAGGTATTTTTATTAAAGTGAATCAATTGAGAGGTAGTGTACATCTTTAAAGATCATTATAGATGCCTCTTGCTATCAGGTATTTGACTAAAGTGCAAATTTGGAACTTCTGTACCTGTGAAAACAAAATTCTTTCACAACTGACATTCTAATTTTTTAAACATCGGGAAAATTAAGTTGCATGTGTTCATGATTATATGTTTGGATCTGCCTTTTTTCCTTTTTGGTTGTCAATATGGATAGCCGGATTGTGCATTTTGTAGGTAAGGGGTGAGCTCTTAATACATTTGGAAACGGTGGTTCTCAGCTGAGGGCTGCTTTGTACCTCATGGGACCGTTGGCAGTGTTTGGAGCTAGTGGTTGCTACACTTGGAGGCTGTTACTGGCATCTAGTGGGTAGAGGCCAGGGATGATGTTAAAACATCCCCAGTGCACGAGACAGATGCCTCACAGCAAAGAAATACCCAGTGCAGAATGTCAGTATTGTTCTCGAGAAGCCCTGCCTGTAACATTTGCTTCATCTCACAGCTGAAAAAATCTAGGTGGTTATTGTGGAGAGACTTCACAGAGCGGTTTACTAGGGCTTGGGAGGAACACTGGCATATTAATTTCTCATGTGATATGGGGGAATAGGAAAGTATGAATAAATAAATGAAGGTTTAGGCATTGATTTAAATTAATATAAATGAATTTAAGTTTAAGTTATATGTCTTCTTTATTACAGATACATGAAGAATCTGGTCACCTTTACAAATGTCATCCCTGAGTGGCACCCACTTAATGCTGCCCATTTTGGTCCATGTAACAATTGCAGCAATAAGTCACAGATAAGAAAAATGGTACTGGAAAAGTGAGTTAAAATTGTCTTACTATTTTTAGAACAAAATGAAGGTGGACTTAACGTGTAGAATTGAAACTGATGACCACAACCTGTTTTTCAGAAGTTTGAGTTCTAGGAATTGCCAGAATGTCTGTCTATCAAGAACTCTGGCTGTAAGCAAGCTCCCAGGCAGGGTACTGCTGCACCTGTCTCAGCGTGACTGACCCCACTCTACTGGAGCCTTTCTGTCTTTTGCCTTGTTTGTCCTTTAAGGATATTAGCCTTCAGTTTTTGTCTCCTCTGCCAAGTGCCTGGAGTCATGAGAACTCTGGGGTTTCCTTAATCTGATTTCAGGAGCTAAGAGGACTCAGAGGTGAACCACAGGCTCATCTGTCTGCGTTCCCAGCTTCTCCCAGACCTCAGCCTGCTAATTCTTCATCCCCTTGTAAACTTTCTGCTGCCTTCGAGCAGATATGTTTTTATTATATTTTGCCAGCTTTTCTATTTGCCCACAGCGGGACCACTGGTCAGAATGCCACCAGATGCCCCATATTTTAAGCTCACAGGTCCTAAAATGATAGTCAGCTTGTTTCTCCTCTGTTAATACACTCACACACGCATCCAACCTCTGACCTTTGTGTCTAGTCATCCTCAGTAAGGAGGTGTCTGGAGGGGTGATGTGATATCATAAAGAACCAGGGGCATTAACCTTTTCTTACCTTTTCTCACACCTTTGGATGTGCCAGGAAATCCCTCAAATCTTTCCTAAAGAGTTGTTTTCATCCAAGTCAGAAGTTCTTGGTTAATCTAATAGTGCCAAGACCTAGAAGAAAAGAGAGCAGTGCCCCTCCTGCCTCCTCTCCTCTAAGCATCCACTTTACTCCTGTAAAGCAGTATTTACTTTGACATTTCAGAACAGTATGCTTATTCTACCTTTATGCAGGCTTCTCCTTTTATAGTAGTGGAGGACTAGGTAGGGCTCCTGCATCAGTTACTGGGCTCCATCTGTTTATAAACTCCCTGTCCTTCCAGCATGATAACAATTTTTATTAAATCTGTACTCCCTATTTTATTATTATAAATATACGAATATTCCTTCTCGAGCCAAACAGTATACATAGTTGTATTTCATTTCTTTTATAACCCCTAAGTTTTCCTGGAATTATTCATTTCCTTGTGTTTTTATTTGCTTTGTTTACATAATGTATTGTGAAATTTTTCCAAATTCTTAGAACACCCATTGATAGATTTTTCTAAATACTTAAATGTCTCACAATTTTGGAATCCTCCCCAGCATTTTTTCTAGAAACCTTTCTTCTGCCACCTTTCATCTTATGCTCCAGTGTTCCGGTCTGTACTGGTTCCTCTCTGAACCTGGTGCACGGGAGCTCTGTATACACTCTCCCTGTCACTCCCCTAGTTGTTAGCCCAGGGCCTTACCCCTCATTCTTCAGTATCTGTTCCCCATCCCCCATCCGTGTTGAGTCTTTCAGGGGTTCTGTGAGGTGTATACGCTTTTCTCATCAGTGTGCCCACTCCACAGCACTCAGGGCCCCCTTCATCCATTCTGTTGAGGTACCACTTTCTGTTTCCCTTTGCTTTTTGCCTTCGGAGTATTTGTTGTTTTCTTCTTTGCTCATGTCTCCTTCCCCCTCTCGGTCCTCTTGGTTTCTTACCTTTTTCCCCCCCTATTTACTATCATTTGATAGCATATGAATGGAAAAGAAGAGGAACTACTTTAACGGGAAGTCCACAGTCTGTCTTGGTTGTCTGGGGTTTCAAACTTGGAAATTGAAGTGTTGTGGGAGTCTTTTTTGTTCACGCCCTGTCCTTCCTTGCTGAGGAGGAGGTGGAAGGCAGCAGGGTGTGGGTATCTGCCATTCTGTACTAGACCGCTGGATTGCTTGAGGTTGCCTGGAGTATGTCATTTCATCTGACACTTACACCTGCTTTTTCTCATTCCCCAGCATTGAAGATAAGCTTTTAGTCCTATTTGTTTGATCTGCTAATTGGACACATTGGAACATACAATTTTTAATTATACAAATAAATTGCTTTACTTATATTAGAGATTCAGGCTCTGATCCAGAAATGTATCTAATATAAGTGTTTCAATGTGAAATGTGTTTAGAGTTCTAATGGGCCAGTTTATAAGCCGAATTTATAATTTGCGCGTTTACTGTATTCAAAAGTAAATTGAACTAGTGTGTAAAATTTCACTTAAATTTTAAATGACAGGATCTTTATGAAGTCCTCTGTAGTTTTTTTCCTTTGAAATTTATATTCTTTTCTAATTTTTTTAAATGTATGTTTATTTTTTGAGACACAGAGCATGAGTGGGGCAAGGGCAAAGAGAGAGAGAGGGAGACAGAGAATCTGAAGCAGGCTCTAGGCTCTGAGCTGTCAGCTGGTGCGAGGCTTGAGCTCAGGAGCTGTGAGATCATGACCTGAGTCAAAGTCGGACACTTAACCGACTGAGCCACCCAGGTGCCCCTGAAATTCACATTCAGCAAGATTCAACAAATCAAAATTTGTTGTCTAATGGAATCTAGGAACAATTTTAATAGTTTTTAAGGATAACTTAAAAGTAATTAGATCTTGTAATAGTAATTATTGCTATTATGCGTAATTCAACCTGACAGCCAGCATTCTAAAAACTAATAGTGTTGTGAGTTCCCTGAACACCTTATCTCAGGTGATCCACACTCTGATATGTTACCATTAGAAAAAGAGTCCATTGATAAATAAGATGATCTAGCAAGTCCAGATCTGCTACTTTAAGTAGATTGTTTAGGAATTCTATTCAGAGCATGGTGATGTGAGCACCAACTTAGAAGCTGATTTAATTTTACTTTACAGACTCTTGAAACGAACCTCATTACGAGGAGTCTAAGTCACACACTACCCTGGATTGTAATTTGAAAAGCTTATTTATTTAAACTTCAGTTTTAACAGATTTTCTTTTAAAACAACTTTTTAAAAGAAAAAGGGGAGTGATAGGAAAAGGATTAGAGGTTTCTGTTCTCTGCTTGTAGAGCTTATTAAAGTATCATTAAAATACAGTGACTTTGAGACTTTCTTGTCCAGACAGATAAACTGAACCATTCTCTACAAAAGTTTGGGTGGAGTACTGATATATAAAATAGTTAAAATTATGGGTTTTCTTTTTAAGTATACTTTGAGAGAGAGAGTGCCTGTGTGCATGAGTGAGAGATGTGCAGAGAGTGGGAGAGAGAGAATTCAAAGCAGGCTCCATGCTGGTGAGCGTAGAGCTTGACATGGGGCTCGAACTCACGAACCATGAGATCATGACCTGAGCCAAAATCCGGAGTTGGACTCTTTAACTGATTGAGGTACTCAGGCACCCCCCAACTCTCATTTTTTAATTATACCTGTTTTTACTCATTTTTTTCTTTTTCAATTTTTTTTAATGAAGGAGACCCAGAATCTGAAGCAGGCTCCGGGCTATGACCTGTCAGCACAGAGCCCAACGTGGGGTTCAAACTCACAAACCATGAGATCATGACCTGGGCCAAAGTTGGCACTTAAGCAACTGAACCACTCAGGCGTGCCTTATTTTTTGTCATAGACTCTAAAAGATGAAATAATTCAGTGATGTAATTAGATCTAAATTGTAATGAGGTTTAAAAATTATATTTGCAGATTTTTTTTTGCCTAAAGCCTGTTATTACAGTTCAGAAATATATATGCACATTGCTAAATTTGCATTTTCTAAAATATGAATTATTATATTACATTAGTTGGGATAAAAATAAATGTCTTGTACTCTGTCTAGGCCATTGGCACAACTGGCTGCTCTTCGTGGGACAGTGACTTGATGTTTCCCTGCTGTCTGTGGGTAGCAGGGCAGTTGGCACAGTTCTCTTGCGCTCCTTTCTTTTTTCTGTTTCTCTCTTTTCCTGAAGGTAGATCCTGCTAGTAGGAGTAGTTCAACCTCAAGTTAGGGAGATGAATGCAAATGGATCTTAGCTTGAAATCTCTTGTGACTCTCATTCCAGTTCTGTTAACCCATCCCGTCTGAGCATCGCCCTTGACCTTTCAGGCATTGTGGGTAGGACAAAGCCTGAGAACAAAATCTATTGCCAGGTTAGGAGTAAAGTTCTACCCTCAGCTAAGAGGCTGGAAATGAGATAAGCTGGGATTATGGGTAGGAGAAACCTGCAACTGTTAGGAGATACTAAAGTCTAGAGACTCAGGAGAGGAAAATAAACTTGAAGAGGAGGGGCATACGCTTTATTTTATCAAATGCAGGATGCCACCATTATAAGTTGTATTGTTTTTTTAAATATGCCATTAAGAAAGAAATACTGACCATTGAACACTTCCCACGTGTAATTCACACTAAGAGGTAGGAAATTTACAAGTTTGTGTAATCTTGGTATCCAGGAGACAATGTTTTAGTAACTAGCCTCAGAAGAGATCTTGAAAAGATACTAGTACTTAAGGACTCAAGCAGGTGCCTAAAGCCTGCATATCCAGCTGCGAGAACATTATCTGTACTTTCACTGTGGATTGTTGATTCAGAGGGGCACAGTCTTCACATTTTCACATATTTGAAATGGGAGTATGTCTAAAAATTGATGGCGTGGTAGACTTTAATTGGCAGTTTTCTTTCTTAGTGGTATATTTTATAATCAGTAGTATCATATAGATATGAAAGAACAAAAGGGGTTAGCATTATAGACAGTTCCACAGGACTTTTTATTTATAGGTACTTAAATTCTGAAGACTCGATTGTTCCTTTAACAGAATGATCGATGAGATAACATACTAATTATTCCTTGTCAATCTGAATAATCTGCATTTTGGATATTGATTCCAGTTCATTTCAGCTGAATAAATTTTGATAAGCTAAGTAAGTTTGACAGCTGTTTAAATATTGGGAAAAGAGATATTCGACGTTTTTCTTAAATCATGAGAGCTTTGTTAAATTTAGTTAATTTGAGACCCATCTTTGGGTTCTATTTTCTGGTTTGGCATGTGACTATAATGACAGTGTATTTTTGAAATTATGGGTGTCTTGAAGTTTATAGTGAATCAACCAGTGTGTTAGTTTTCTTCTCTACTTAGGCACAAATTAAACTTCCTAAGTAGAAGTTTTACTTTGATGGACCTCTCCGCTTCCTGAGAAAACAGTGAAATAGGCCAAATTATTAGCATATTAGGGTTTTTTTTTTAATGTTTATTTCAATGTCTTAGGTTGTTACTGTGTTTCACATATTACCTGTCACATCTAACAAAAGTAATTCATTTGAGGCACTAGATGCTCAAGAAAATTCTAAAAGGTCTGGATTTTTCCCTGTGATTTTACAGAATAGTGACGTTACTGTGAAATCTTTAAGCCAAAGCAGCAGTGTGGCTTACAGAGCAATTTTTGTTTAATGGTCTGTGTTAGAGCCTTATTGCATGATGGCTTCCAACTGTCAGTGATACCATTCCAAGAAGGGTTTACTGTCACCAACTTCGTAGCGCGAGTTCTCTGTTTCTAATTAAGGCACACATCTGGAGGTTCTCAAGAAAAATTAGTGCAGTTAGCCTTGAAAGCGTCATGTGTGACTTCCTTGCTTCAGACCATCTTTTGTATAACCTGGCATGGGCATGAAATTTGTTTGACGTTGCTTGCCTTTCTCTCCCACAGAGTATCGCCTATATTCATGTTGCACTTTGTGGAAGGCTTACCACGTGATGACTTGCAGCACTACTCATTTCATTTTGAAGGCTGTCTTTATCAGATAACTTCTGTAATTCAGTACCAAGCAAATAATCATTTTATAACATGGATTTTAGATGCTGACGGTGAGTGTTTAAACCTTTTTCTTTATGATAATAGGCATAGAGGCTAAACTCTAGACTTTTTTTAAAAAGACAGACTTTGTCTTGACCCCTTTCCCTCTCACTTCTTGCCCTTGCCTTTAATTCTGTCCCCTCCTCTCTGTCATTCTGGTTTAGAATCACTCTTGTCTGTCATTGTTTATGTATGGGTGTACACATGCATATGCATATTTCTTTTCTAGATGAAGAACGAGATCATACATTGTTGTTGGTTTATAGTATGCTCTTTTCCACGTACTGTGTTTGCTTTTATTCCATGAGTAATAGGTGGTCAGTATAGAAAAGTGAGTGGTGGCAAATTTTATTTCTTAGATATATAAACATGCACTTCTTTTAAAAAGAAAATGCAGGGGCGCCTGGGTGGCTTAGTCGGTTAAGCGGCCGACTTTCGCTTAGGTCATGATCTCGCGGTTTGTGGGTTCGAGCCCCGCGTCGGGCTCTGTGCTGGCTGCCAGCTTGGAGCCTGGAGCCTGTTTCAGTCTGTGACTCCCTCTCTCTCTGTCCCTCCCCTGCTCATGCTGTCTCTCTCTATCTCTCCTAGAAATAAATAAAAATATTTAAAAAAAATAAAAAAATAAAAAATAAAAAAGAAAATGCATTGCACTGTAAGTTTTTTAATTGAGAATAAAAAATGTGCTTAGTTTACAGTTGTTAGTAATATAAATAAAACATCTATTTCTAAGACTGTTAGACATTATAGACCACGTAGCCTTCTCTCCCTATGAAATAGAATATCTGAAATCCATAATTTGCTAATAGCTATAGTCCAGGTAAAGCCTGTATTTGTTTAAAAAAATTTCTTTAATGTTTGTTTATTTTTGAGAGAGAGCGCGCGCGCAAGCAGGGGAGGGGTAGAGAGGGAGACAGAGAATCTGAAGCAGGCTCCAGATTCTCTGCTGACAGCTCAGAGCCCAGCGCAGGGCTCGAACTCAGCCACGAGATCATGACCTAAGCCAAAGTCAGATGCTTGACCGACTGGCCAGCCAGGTGCCTCCTAATGCCTTTATTTAAATAAACTTTTTGAAAGAAGGTTAAATAGAACAGCCCATAAATTTTGCTAGATTTTTCCTAACATTTCTCTAATATGGTTCAAAATTGAGTTTGTTTCTCTCACCGTGTTCACTTTGTCTTAAACAAGATAACTCAGCCCCTTAAACTGTTATATCAGGTAAGAGTTCTTTTGATATTTTCTGTTTTTCCATTTTCTATTATTTGGACACTTCTCATATTTGATATTTTCCTCTTGGGATGGTTTAGGTGGATGACACAATAATGTGTTATAAAGCACTTTGCAAACCAAAACTCACATTATAAATAGTATTACCTTAAAATTTTACCCTACTTCAGCATTTGGGGGAAGTGGTTCTCAGTAACATAAAAAAAAAAGTTCAATTTTTTACTGCATTCCAGGGGAATCTGAAACCGTCTTCAATTGGTTAGATGGTTTCCAACATATAAAAATCAAACAATTACGTTATAAAAAAGGTCTTGGCTCTTCCCTAGATCGTTGAATCAGTCTCTGAGGATTAGGTACAGATGTGAATCAGGTAATTGTAAATGTGCATGTATGGTAGAGAACCACTGTCATAAACAGACAAGAGAGTCTCACAAGTTTTAATGGATACAGAAGTAGTAGGTTCAGGTGATTTATAAGGATACATCCGCATAAACTTAGTGAATGGTTTTGTTGGGTTTTTTGTGTCTTTGGGGGTTAACTCTTCCTTTGTCCTACATTATTTCATTTCCACTTGACAAACGAGAGACTAGAAGCTCAGAAATAAAATAACTAAACACCTAAAAACCCCTGAAGTTTTTGTTTTTTTAATCAGAAAAAAAAAGAAAATAAGACTTCAAACAAATGTTGGTACTTGAGGTAATAGGCTTCATGAAAACTCATAGATATGGAAAAAAAATCATTTTTTTCTTTTCCTTTTTTAATGTTTATTTTTGAGAGAGAGAAAGAGCACAAGCAGGGGAGGAGCAGAGAGGGAGACATAGAATCTGAAGCAGGCTCCAGGCCCTGAGCTGTCTGCACAGAGCCCAGTGCAGGGCTTAAACCCACGTACCGCAAGAACATGACCTGAGCTGAAGTCAGACACTTATCCGACTGAGCCACCCAGGCGCCCCAGAAAAAATCCATTTTCTGATGTCGTTGGATAAATTGGACGATATACTGTATTCCAAGTCACAAAAATTAAGTATTTAGACTTCTGTCTTGGTTTTTGTGGGTAATTTAGGAAAGAGTAAACACTATCTCAGTTTTTAAAATTTCCTGCTGTTCATAACTTTTATTATCCAAATAAAGACTTTAGCCTTTGGCAGAAGAAAATGGTGACAGTGATAAGGCCATGTTCTCAAGTGTTCTCCTTTAATGGATATTCAGGGATATAGCAGGTGAAATGGCCAGAAAAAAAAATTAACTTGGGCTGGTGGGTTTTGAATGTCTAATTTAGTTTATAAACTTTCTCCATCTCCTAGGAACTTGGCTGGAATGCGATGACCTAAAAGGCCTATGTTCTGAAAGGCGTGAGAATTTTGAAGTTCTTGCTTCAGAGATCCATATTGTTATTTGGGAAAGAAAAACATCCAAGATAACAGATGAAGCACCTGCCTGCCTTCCACTTAAAAAGACTAATGGTGAGCATGCTTTTGGTGCTGAGCAAGCAGCCTCTCCAGCATGGTGTTCTGGGGGTGACGCCGCCTCTGCCGAGCTGTCCGCAGGAACTCTCCCCACCAGTGTGTCGTTTGCTCCTAATGCTCTTTCACAGGGTCAAGCTGTAGCTCACGGACAAATACTTTCCGATCCAGAAAGTTTGGTAGACAACAGTATTTTATCTTTGACATTTGAAGAAATACAGGTTAACTCTGAAAGTTTCCTATTTGAAAATAAACCTGTGGCAGAGAATGCAGGAGTTGGCAAAACAAAGACTTTGCAGTCACAAGAGTCACTAGTGGCTTCTTTAGTGTCTGGTCCATGTGTTGAAAACCTTACTCAAGACCAGTTTATGGGTTTTAAGTTTCCATCTCAAACTGTAAATGCAAGCATGCGATTTGCACCACCAAGTGCAGAAGACACTGGGATCACTGCGCCTGTGAATAATAGCCCCACTCCTGATCTTACACACAGTGTAAAGCCTGCAGTTGAGGGCACAGTGGCCCAAGAGAAGGACACTTCGTTGAAACAGTTTCCTTCACCAAAGACTGAGAAATTAAAACCCGAACAACAGGGTACATCTCAGACATCTAATTTGAAGAAAAACGAAACTGCGTCATTTTCAAAACCCGTAACAGCTAAGTCACTACAGAATCCATCTCTGAAAGAAGCTCCAAAGAAACCATTTGTAGGAAGTTGGGTTAAAGGCTTATTAAGCAAGGGTGCTTCTTTTATGCCACCTTGTGTTTCAGCTCGTAACAGGAACACCGTAACTGATTTGCAGCCTTCAGTTAAGGGGGCAAATAATTTTGGTGGCTTTAAAACGAAAGGTGTGAACCAAAAGGCTAACCGGGCATCCAGGAAAGCTAATAAATGTGCAGGTAAGCCTCCTACAGTTTGTAACCCTCCACCAAGTCATCCGCTGTCTGGTGGCACGACATCTCATGTACGCACTAATGTTACTGCTGATTCAGATGTTCTGAAATGTGAAAAGGCCCCCTATGGAGCTCACCACAGTCCCAGCTCCTGTGTAAAAGAAAATGGTGTTTCTTCAGCAAACCATGGAGACTCAGTTGAGGGTCAGATTCATAAGCTTCGTCTAAAACTTCTTAAAAAACTTAAGGCAAAGAAGAAGAAATTAGCTGCTCTTATGTCTTCCCCCCAAAATGGAGAGCTTCCAGGTGAAAAGTTAGAGCCTGTGTCCCATTGCGGGTCTCCAAACGACTGTGAATCAATAGAAGACTTGTTAAAAGAACTCCAATATCAAATTGATACTGCTGACACTAAATCTGGAGGCACCGCAGTTCCATACAATAGTCAAAGTCATGAAGAAATTTTAGCAGAACTGTTGTCCCCTACAACTGTTGTCTCAACAGAGCACTCGGAAAGTGGGGAAGCTGACTTTAGGTATTTAGAAATAGGAGATGACCACATCACAGCCCCAGTGCCTACTGAATTAAATGGCATTCCCCGGAATACACACCTGAGACAGGACCATAATTACTGTAGCCCCACCAAGAAAAATCAGTGTGAAGTTCAGCCAGAGTCTCTGGCAGATCAGTCCATGAAGACTGATATTTTTGATGAGTTTTTTTCCACTTCAACATTAAATTCTTTAGTAAATGACACATTAGACTTACCTCATTTTGATGAATATCTGTTTGAAAGTTGTTGAGTGCATGCTATCTTTTTTTAGTTTAATATTTATTATTGCTCTTAGAAAACTTAATATGTTATTAAGTAGTGTTTATACACTGGCCTTGTCATGAGCAAAATGTAAGCTATGGAAGGTTTTACCTTCAGTTCTAACCACAAAGCATGTAATCTGTTTTACAAATTAAAATGATCAGGAATTGGTTTTCCTTGTTTGATTCATTTGGCATTATAGAAGAGTTTTTCAAAATGTTAAAAATGATATGGAGTAGTGCCTAGTTTTTGGCAATTTTTACATTTGGGTATATTAAATATCTACATTTTAATTTTTGGTTATACCAGTTCAAGAAAAACACTAGTTTGTACAAACTTAAGCCATTGTACATGGGATATGAATGTGTGACTGTTTGGTAATGGTTCTGTGGTCATAGAAGACCCTAAGCCTGTTTCTTATACCAGTCAAGTGCTGTGGAATATAAACCTCCCCCATACAACTTTCCTTCTTCTCCTTTCCTTCTTCCTTCTACTTAGGATGGCAGGAACCTTGTTACTAGAACGTTAAGTAATGTTACATGATCAATAAGTGATCTCTAATAGGAAAGTAATCTATTTTTGTGTTGATAGTCAAAAAGTTCATGTTACCATAAATCTCATATTTTTCCCAACATTTACTTCTGCAAGCAAAGTTGGACACCTTCCAACAGTTGTTTTAGGGAGAAAATAATAACCAAGTACTTCTAAAGCTTGCTGTATGTTATGTTCCGTTTTATATGAAACACTAATTCATTTAAACCCCAACATTTCTGGGCCGCCTTAGTGGCTCAGTCTGGTGAACGTCCAATTCTTGATTTCGGCTCAGGTTGTGATCTCTTGGTTTGTGAGCAAGCCCCACATTGGGTTCTGCACTGGTGGCATGGAGTCTGCTTGGGATTCTGTCTCCTCTCTGCCTCTCCCTTCCTCGTTTGTGCACACTCTCTGTCAAAATAAACTTTAAAGTAAAAAAAAGAGAAAACACCACAACGTTTCTGTGAGCGAGCTACTTTTATCACATTTAACCTAAAGAAACAGCACAGAGCTTAGTAAATTGTACGGCTGGGTAGTGTGGTTACTACAGCCACTAGAAGCATATGTCCACCTGTCAGGGGTCATTTAAAGTTTGGATGCTTAAACAGCACCACTGCAGTAGTGATTGGAGTTACTAGGAGTAGTTCCTAAGCTTTTAAGGGTGGTAGTCGGGGATAGAGTACTGAGGGACTCAGCACTTCACGAGTGATTTGTCCAATTTGCTTTCAGTCCCCTCCCCCGGCCCCCATTTTTTGGTTACACAAGTACTGCATGTTTATTGTCAGGAGAAGCTTGGACATGCAGAAATATACAAAGATTCTGGATCCTTTATTTTTATGCTTCGTGGTAATAACTGAACATTTTCATATTTGTATACAAATAGACTTTTTTTTAAATGTTTTTTTATTTATTTCTAGGAGAGAGAGATGGAGAGACAGTGTGAGCAGGGGAGGGTCAGAGAGAGAGGGAGTCACAGACTCTGAAAGAGGCTCCAGGCTCTGAGCTGGCAGTCAGCACAGAGCCCGACGCGGGGCCCGAATCCACGAACCGCGAGATCATGACCTAAGCGAAAGTCCGACGCTTAACCGACTAAGCCACCCAGGCGCCCCTGTATACAAATAGACTTTAAAAAATTTTATTTTACCTGTTTGTACAATCTGTTTTAATGTTTAATGAGCATTTTTTTCCATCTTACAGCTTTGGCAACTTTCGGAGAACTCCATTATGTTATGTATTATGGATTATCATTGTTTTACCAATCTTGAGATTTCGAGGTGATTTGCACTGTTCTGTTATTATTAATTCTGCCACGACAGTTATTGTTGTTAAGTTTTTGTACAGATCCAGGCCTTATTTTCTGGGAGTGGAATTGCTAGGTCAAAGGATTTGCATTTGTAAAGTCTTACTGTTGGTGGGGTTGGCTTTCCTGAATCCTCACCAACACCAAATAGCATTGAGGCGGCAAAAAAACCTTGGCTTTTTTTTTTTTTTAAACGTTTTCATGATTACTAATGAGGTTGACTATAACTTTATTTAACGTTATATACTTATGATTTTATTGGCCAGTTGACTTTCTCCAAGAAATTGCTTATTCATCCCTGTAATTAATTAATCATTTGAATATTTCTAGATTTCTGCTAAGTACCGGTGTTGTAAACCTCAGAGATAAAGCAGTAAAAAAAGAAATTGTTGCCCTTTAAAAGGCGCTTGACTTCTAAACAAGGAAATAAATATATCATGCTAAGTGGTAATGACTGTTGGATTGTCCCTTGTGGTGGTTCTCTTCTGAAAAGTTGCCATGAGCATTCCATGAACATGAAGTACTGAACCACTGCTCCTAAGGGAATTGCAAGGTTAGGTTCCTGGGAGCCTCTGATTGCAACATTATTGTCCACTGATCAGCAAATAACCTTGTTTTTTGTGTGCTTCTGTTTAAAGACGACTTATGTAATATATATTGTTGGTTCATTTCCATAGAGTACAAGGCCAACAGCACTATAAGTGATGCCTGAATGAAGCTTATCTAACACATGTGTTTTTTCCATTAGGCATGTCACATCTTTCTTGTGCTTAGCAACATCAGACAGCAGTTAAATACTACACTTGAGGTCCATTTTAAACAGTGAAATCACCAAAAACAAGAGTAAAAGGTGTGACACTAGATCTACTGTAAAAAGGACACTTAGAGCATGAGAACTGAATCAAGGCAGAGTGTTGCCTGTTAGACCTCACCTGGAGTCATATGTGTTAGGCAACTCTGGGTGTCCATAATAACCACATTGTAAGTGTTGACTTTTAAGGTTACAAATCTTAGCATGTAGGCAAAATCACAAACACAGAATAAGTGAGGGTGCTTGGCGTGATTGAGGAGTGGGAAAAGTCCAGTGTGGTTGAGCAGAGAGAAAGGGAAAGATTTAAAACATGAGATGAAGGGGGTTGGCAGAAGGCAGTTTTTGTATGGTTTTGTGGCCCATAGTGAAGACCTTGTTTACGCTTGAGAATAATGGAAGCCACTGGCAAGTTTCAGGCAAGGGCAGAATATCTAGTCTTAGAATCAAAAGGATCCCTTTTGATTGCATAGAGAATGTCTACAGCCGGTCAGAGTAGGAGCCATAATCTGTTACAGCTTCCCCAGAGTTTAGGGTGATCGCTGTGGAGGTGTTAAAAAGTAGCTGGATTACTGTTGCATTTCAAAAGTAGAGCCAACAGGATGTGTTGATGGGTTGGATGTGGGGCAGAAAGAGGAGTCAGAGACCAGTCTCAGGTTTTGTTGCCTGAGCAGATGGGTCATGCTATCAACCGAGATGGGACAGACTTGGGAAGGAAAAAATTTAAAGGAAAACATTCATTCATTCCATTTTAAATGTATGTAAGGTTCCCATTAAGCTTTCAAGTGGAGATAATCTAATAGGAAGATGGGTGTGCAATGCTGGGGCTCAAGAGAGGCAGATATTTACTCAGGAATTACAAATATGTAAATCATATTTAATGTCCCATTAAAGAATGGAGAGTCATTTAGGGAGTTAAAATAGCTCTGGGGAACAGGAGGAGCCATGGAAGGGAGATGAGCCTGGTGTCCTGAAAATCAAGGGAAGAAAGCTTTTTTTTGAGACAGAGCGATGCTGATCTGTCAGATGCTGCTGAGAAGCAGCGTAAGGTGAGGACTGAGAATTGATCATTGGCTTTGGTAATTGGAAAGTCTTTGGTAACTTGGTGAGGACAGTTCAGTGGAGTTGGGACAAGTGTGAGTAGGCTCATGAGAGAAGGGATTGAAAGTGCAGATAGAGACCTACTCTTTTTGAAACATTCACCTGGTGCCTGGTGAGGGAGTGTGGGATCAAGATTTTTGTTAATGTCTTTAAGATGGGAGATGTCATAGTATGTGTGTGTGGACCCGAGGCTTCGTTGGAGAGAGACAAATGGATGTTGTAGGTGAGAAGAGTGATGGTTGCCACAGTAAGTTTCTCCAGGGCTGGGATTCCAGTATATAAGAGGAGATGTGACCTTACTAGCTAGAAGAGTTTATCCTTTTTATTTTTTTAATGTTTATTTTTGAGAGAGAGAGGGGAGGGGCATAGAGTATCTGAAGCGAGCTCCTCGCCAACAGCAGAGAACCCAATGTGGGGCTTGAACCAGCGAATTGCAAGATCATCACCTGAGCTGAAGTTGAATGCTTGCCTGAGCTACCCCGGCTTCCTCAAGTTTATCCATTTTAATACTAGAGTCGACAAAGTATATGGGTACAGATATTAGGAGATGTGATGCTTGGAGAATGAAGAACGTCACATTTTTCTTTTCTGAGGGATACAGTAATATTACCAGCTGAGAGTATGAGGGGTAGGGGAGTTGAACATTGAATAAGAGAGGTTAGAATTTTTAGTCTTGAGAGCTAATTGAACAGGGACATGGCAGTAGGCTCACGGGCGTACTGAGAACCCACCAGAGGTTTAACTGAAATGACCCAAGATGGTTGTTTTTTCTCTAGTCACATTTACTGCTCAGGACAGAAAGAGTAGATGAGAAGTTGGATCCAGCCAAGGTTAGAGGTATTGCCAGGTAAATGGGACAGAGGAGAAAAGGAATTAAGGTTTTATGTAAGGAAAATTATTAATAATGATGTGATAAGGAGGGATGTAGGGACATATGACAGGCGATGATCATTTAAAAAGTGGTGGCAGATCTTGGTGGCTTGGAGGTGGATTCAAAGAATGCCAGAGTGGGACTAGTGGAGGAAGTAAGAAAGCAGTGTGCTTGAAACTGAGCTTTTGGGAACAGTGCAGTTACTGGCAATGACAAGGTCTGGAGCATGACAAGGGAAGTGTATGGCCAGGGTTGGATGAGAAGTCCATTAAAAGTGAATAAAGGAATCAGGAGGCCAGGATGGTATTCCGATAGTTTTGGTGGAAGGCAAAGTCATTTAAGTGGCAGCAGGAGTCCTGGTGGGAAGTATGCAGGAAGCCAGGAGCTCAAATCCTCAAGGAAAGACGGAATACTGTGAAAATGGCTGCTGGCAGCAAAGGAGCAGCGTGGGTGGTTCAGTCTAACGGTCTGTGCTTCAAAGGCACTGGAGGGTTATAGTGAAGAGGGGCAGCAGTGAAAAAGCGACTAGGAAATCGGATAGAAATTTTACATTCTATAGTCT